GAAGATGGCCTCAATTCGGTGGAGGTAGGATCCCTCGGGCGATGGCCTAAAACCCAAGATCGCAGACCCTCGTGCGCACGTCTTAACCTCACTGACCAGGCCCTGCAGCCGCCCGAGCGATGGCCAGTTTCTATGTTCAACACAATAAACCAATTGACCTTAATCACCGATTAGAATTAATTAATTAACTTAACTAATTCATTAAAGTCTTGGATTTAACCATCCAGTCAAACCTACGACAACAGAATATCCAGTCAAAGCCTAGGTCAAACATGACCTAACCCAAGTCAAAGTCAAACCTGTTCAGTCAATTCACAATCCTCAACAATTCAATTCAAGCAATCAATTTAATTCAATTAACCAATTTAGCCAAATTATAGGATAAACACATATAACGATCCAAACCATTAAATCTATTCTGAATGCTGGTAACTTCATAGTACGGACCTGGATTACGCCAAAATCGAATCGATAGCTCGAACGGAAGACAAATCAACGAAATCAACCAAACGGGTCAAATCGAGTAAAAATACGAAATCGACCAATCAATCCGGCGTGGAGGTTAATCTGCCGGCGATATCAACTCGGGGCAGCGGCCGGATGCGGCGACGGTGACGGACGCCGGCGACAGTGGCGTAGCGGCAGCTTGACGGCGGTGAGCAGCGACTGGCGGCGCTGCACTCGACGGCGGCGCTGCACTCGACGGCGGCGGATGGCCGCTGTGCAAAGGGCGACGGCGGCGCTCGATTCCGGCGAAGGCGAAGCAGCGGCTGGAAGCTCGGCGACGGCGGCTGGAGGCTCGGCGATGCTGAGCGGCGGCTACTAGCAAAGGAAGCAGTGGCGGCGCTGCAACTCGGCGGCGCTGCAATCGACGGCGGCGATGAGCGACCGGCGCAGGCAGTGGAGGCGACGGACTTCCGGCGAAGGATGGGCAGCGACTGGCTTCCGGCAAGGCTCTGGCTTGCGCGACACCGGCGTGGTCGAACGGTAGAGGACGACCGGCGCTGGCTGCTGCAATTGGACAGCGACGACCGGCGGCTGGCTCACGGCGGCGCTGCACCAGTCGGCGATGATGGCGGCGAGGCTGGGGAAGGCGACGGCGGCTCCAATTGGACGGCGAACGACCGGCTGGGGAACTTCCGGCGGCGATCGATCGGCGAAGAAGAAATGGAAGAAGAAGAAAGAAGAAGAAAGAAGAAGAAGGAAGAAGAAGAGAAACGAAGAAGAAGAACGAAGAAGGACGGACGAACGAACGAGAGAAGATAAGGATTGTGTGGCTGAGGTTTAGGTTTATTTAATGGTCCCATTCCAAAAAGGATTGGGCTTCGGACCCAAAATACCTGATTAAATGGTCATAACTTGAGCTCTGTAACTCCGATTCGCGAGCCGTCTGAACCGATGCGATCACAAAAATATTTCCTACGAGATGACATAAAAGTTGGGCTTAAAATCCAAATTATAATTTTAACCCCTTTTTACGCCCAATTCGTAATCAATTGCTCTGACAATTTAATTAATTCTTTTGGGCCAGGTTTCGAGGCGTTACATTTCTCCCCCCCTTAAAAAGAATTTCGTCCTCGAAATTACCTGAGTCATTGGTCGTCGAAGAGATGAGGGTACTGAGTTCGCATAGATTCTTCGGTCTCCCAGGTTGCTTCTTCCACCGCATGATTACGCCATAGTACCTTTACTAAAGGTACCGTCTTATTCCTTAACACTTTAGTTTCGCGCGCCAAGATCTTAACTGGCTCTTCTTCGTAAGACAAACTCTCATCGAGGGTTACATCATTGGTCGGGAACACATGAGTCGGATCTGAACGAAATCTACGTAGCATGGAGACATGAAAGACGTCATGAATCCTGTTCAGCTCTGGTGGCAACTCTAGCTTGTAAGCAACAGGTCCTATTCGCTCCAGAATGCGGTAGGGTCCAATGAATCTAGGGCTAAGCTTCCCTTTCTTCCCGAACCGTAGGACCTTCTTCCAAGGAGAAACCTTCAAGAATACCATGTCACCAACATTGTACTCTATGTCTCGTCTCTTCAAGTCTGCATAAGATTTCTGTCTGTCCGAAGCAGTGCGGAGTTGGTCTCTGATCACACGAACCTTCTCCTCTGTTTCCTGCACAATATCTGGTCCCTCGAGCTTACGCTCGCTAAGCTCTGTCCAACAAATCGGGGTTCGGCACTTTCTGCCGTAGAGTGCCTCATACGGAGCCATCTGAATACTCGCCTGGTAACTGTTATTATATGCAAACTCCATCAACGGCAAGTAACGCTCCCAATCTTCTCCAAAGTCGATCACACAAGCTCGCATCATATCCTCGACAATCTGTATCACCCTCTC